ATATATTTGTAAAACTTCTACTACTGTATAAAGCAACAAATCTTCTATTCTACGACAAGTACGATCAGTAATTTATTTCCATGCATGGCCAGATATTCTGTTGCATTTTAAAAAACGCCAAGTTCGAAAGGAACGAGTAAACTGTTTACCTAAAATAAAAGGATCACCGATTCCAAAATAAAAACAAATACAGACAAGTTTGCATTTTTTTCATTGCGACTAAGACAAGAAAAAACAACCAAGCTAGAAATACAGAATAAAAGTAACTGATAAAAGGACCTTAAAAAGAAACACGTATTTTTAAGAAAGAAATAGACGATTTAAACTGTGTTCGAGAGAAAACTCACTTTCAAAAAAGATCCTTTCATTAAGTGTGTTTTAAACAATTTTGTTATTTCACATTTGACACTTTAAATCATCTATCAGAATTTAAAGCACAATTTTTTTCCCGAGTTTTATATTTCAAAACGTTATGTTTTGTTAAAATAAACAAAAAATAAACCACGCGAATTAATGAACCTTTCCCTGTTTAATATAACTTTTTTATCGAATAGTGTCAATTTTTTTGAAACATTATTATTCGTGACATAGAAATGGTTTAAAAAATACTTGCTTGATGATAACGAACTGTTGAGAAGAACCCTCTCTAGAAGTATAGAACCTGTTGAAAAAATATTTTCTTCTTGGTAAGAACGTATTGAAAAGAATTATTCTTAACGGTGTAGAACCAAATATACATTGTTACACCGTGATAAAAACAAAACAAAAAACTGTTGATAAGAGAGTCATTCTTAATTGCATAAAAATTGTTACAAACAATTACTGCATTATAAGAAACTTAAATAAAACCATTCTTAACGGTATAAAACTGGTTACAAATTATATCCTCATGATGAGAACTTATTAAGTAGAACCAGTTTTAATGGTATGGAACTGGATAAAAAGTAATTACTTCATTTCCAAAAGACTAAAAAATCTCTCTGGTGTACAGGAATGAATACGTTAAATTAAAACGTGTTTGAATATAGAAACCAGTATGCCATGTGACAACCACAGTAAATATAAATTAGCAATGGAAAGGAATGTGTAAAATATTTTTACATTGTTCCTCGTTACGTGGCTGTGTGATACCAAATAAATTTATTACTTTTGGTTAGGATATGTAACAGCCCTTTCCGACGCAAGATATTTAAGCAGTCATATCATAAAGTTCAGATCGATGACTTAGAACTTTAAGAGAGGGATATCCCTTGTACTTAATGATATTGGGAAACGAAGGACTTTGGATCAGTTTGAGGCATCAGAACTCTCTAGAAAAGAGTTGTAAGAAGTCGTACCTCACCCTTGGTAAGTAAAGTGCAGCGTCTTGAAAGAAGTGAGACTCCACGAGCAAAAAGGTCAGTAGCAAGAACCGTCCCCGTGTTCCATGCAACAGTATGTAATATAATAAAGAAAGATATCTGTCTGGAAACGAGGCCAACATGATATGAATTCACTAAGATAAGACTTCTAGTCATATATCCCTTTAAACCGTCACATCTCTCAAGTAATTGTAGAATGAAACGGGCATTAATACCAAGATATTTCGGTCAGCTCGCCAAATGCAGCGCTCATGGATTTCTGTGCTATCGGACTATTAAAACGGGCACTAGGAAACCATCGTTCACTAGATTGAATATGGAAAGCATGCACGGATGAGCGGTGTGCTTGAGAAATGATAGCTTTACGACGCAGCAACGAAAAGCACGCTGCAGAGCTATTGTCAAGATACATGGTTGTGATGATAACCGTGCTAGACATGATGAGGCTCCAAAATCGTTTAAATACAACTTATTCCAAGCTCTGTGCAGATGGTTAGAAAAGTATTTACCCCTGATAATAAACTGCTTTAAAAATAATTATTATTGCTATAGCAACAGTCTGAATTTAGATTACTACATGAAGGAAGTAATTCTTTAGGACAAGTAAATAAATCATAATTAGATAAAATGTCATTGTAAATTATAAGTGATTTGTTTTCTGTTATCAGTAGTAATTCTTGTTTAAATACAATCTCCTCATATGAAGTGGTATAGTCTCTATTGTCAGTATTCCGGTTTGAGTTACATACTGTATGTATCTCCGTATGGAGTTATGAAGGCGTTTGATCTCTATTTTCAAAGGTGTCCTCCTTTCTTTAATACAATACATTTTCTAACGTTAAATTTAAATTTGGCCAGGTGGTTAATGCGCTTGAATCGCATTCTGAGGGTCGCGGGTTCGAATCCCCGTCCCACCATACATTCTCATCCTTTCAGCTGTGGGGCGTTATAATTTGACGGTCAATCCTACTGTTTGTTGACAAAAATAGTAGCCCAAGAGTTGGCGGTGGGGGATGGTGACTACCTGCCTTTCATTGCTAAATAAGGGACGGGTAGCGCAGATAGCCCTCGTGTAGCTTTGCTCGAAATTAAAACCAAACGAGCAAATTATATTTAACCCCCTGGTAAACAGAAAATAATATTAAATATTTGTATCGGTAGAATATATAAACTTAATATATTCGATTTTAAAACTTGTAACAATGAATAAAATAAAGATGATTATGTGAAGTTAAACGTTATATCATTTTAAAATTTGACCTTATCTTTAAAGAAAACCACTGCATGTTCCTACTAATTGTTGTTTCACAACATTACTGAAATCGAAAAACAGTTTATTTGCTCCACTAATATGAAAACATTTTGTACATATTAAATATAATAAAAATTACTATAAAGTAGCTCAAAATGAAAATTAGTTTTTAGAGAATTTCAATTTAAACTTTAAGACTATCGTACCTGCCCAAAAATAGGAAAGAAAGTTATAGATAGAAAAACATACATACTAAAATGTTGTCGTGTATATTAGACTCGACCTTTTAGGAGAGTTTGCGTCAGGAACTTCTCTTTTTCTAAATCTGATGACGAAGTACTTAAACAAAACACACACAATACTACCAGTCTAGTAACCGTTAGTATATTTAATTGTACACAATTCTTATTATACAGTAGTTAATAAAATACTTAAAAACAATCCAGACAATTCGTATTTTGAAGTGAGAATTCAAATAATTAAGTAAAATTCAATTCGTTTTATGGAGTAACAATCTGATACACAAGCACAATCTAGGTTCGCTAAGGTTTGTTTTGTGGACTGAATCTAGGTTGTTGGTTTTGCAGTACTGATTTAAAACTGTGAGTAAAAACGTACTTATACACGAAACGTAAATAACGGAGACATTTTTGATAGTTGATGTTGCTTGTAACTCTTCATTCGGTTATGCTGGATTAGGTTATGCTATTTATGTATTTGTTTTCATTTAACTGACTAAAAAGTTTTTCTCTTACACAGATTCTGATTCTGTGTCAAAAAATTACACGAAAAGTAAAAACAAGTGGAATAACTTTTAATAAGACCTATTATATACTAGCTGGAGTACGGAAGTTATATACATTCATGATTAATGAAAGGTTATCTTAGGACATGAAAAGTTGCTTCCCTTATATGTGATTGTAAAAAAAACGCCCATAAAAACTGAAAAGCACAAAATGTGACACCGAAAATTTGCATTTATCTTCGCATGGACCGAACAAACCTTCCAGCCAATTTTAATGAGGATCCATCAGGGGGTGGGGGAGGGCAAATTAGTTGTAAAAAACGCAAAAACGCCCATAAAAACCGTAAAACGCAAAATGCAAAACTGAAAACTTGTATGTACCCTCACATGAACCTAAGGAACCTCCATACCAATTTTGGTGAAGATCCATCTACACCCTGCGAAGTAGTTAGTTATATGGACATACAACAGACGACAGACGGTACTATTATATTTATATAGATTCAGTTCGTTTATGGCAGTCATTTTACTGAACGTCTGTTTCATTTCACTGTTCATTTGAACAGCTAAAATTAAGAACGAAGATCATTGTACTCAGTAAAGTATATCCAGTAACAGGGCATCTTAGCGGAATTAATACACAAGTAAATGTACTCCGTCCTATAACATTATCATAACAAATTAGTAATGCAATTTATCACAGTTGAAGCTGTGAACTTTTTGAAGAAGAAAATAACTTCTAAATGTGCTAATATATATTCCAATGGAAATGTAACACTGACATATGCTATTGAAGTTCATATTTTAGAAACTAGGTTTTCTTGTAAAATATGCAACGGAAAGAGTCAAATGTAATGAGAATGGACATATTAATATATATTGTAAATTTGTCATTAGTTATCTAGACAACAGTAAACTAGATTGTTAAAATATCCCAGGATTTGTCTCGGTTTTGAGATGCTCAAAACTGAATTATTAACATCCCCGTTTTCAGCTACATGTGCCACATTTTGTTATTTCATTTCGTCTCTTTTGTGAACGATCTGTATCTAGATGTACGTTGATACTTGAAAATGCTAGAAACCGTAATTATGTTAGTTTCATGGTTTAATTACGAGTGCTACTCCATAAGAAATAATAAAATCATATCACTTGCTAAAAATTATAAGTTTCTTAATATATTTTAATAGTAATTTATCTTTACCTCCGAGCTAGTTCTAGTAATTTTACCATCAGAAACACGTTTTATCAACTGTATTCTGAACTTAACGCCTTAAAACTACAAATCGTAACGGTGTTTAGAATTAGGCTTAAAGTATATGATAAATATGATTGTTTATTGGAATTAATTTTGCTCCTTCGCATTTAGTAATATAGTTTTTTTTCTTTAGAAATGAATGTTTGTTGCTGTTGTTCATACAACACTGTTGCTACCAGCCACTGTTGATCGCTAAAATTGTGTAATCGGATGTAGCCTCAACCAAGCCCTTCGACCAAAAGGCCAGATGAACAAATTCGTGTTGGTCTGCTTGCTCATCGATCAGCTGACTCTACGCGCCTGCGTATTGGTCGCTTTACTGCAACGTGCCAAAGAGGCAGTAGAAACGTCGAGATGGGAGGGTACCCCTGCTGCAAGAGGACCCCTGTAAGTGGAGGAATGGCTCTATATAAAGGGGTCCATCGTTCTCCCACCCTCCACATTAAACCGCCGGACACTGCTGAAAGTCCAACAGCCGGCCGAATCACTGAAACGGGTGATATGCCAGGATGCAGGAATGTTCGCTCGCACTAGTTTCTAGTCTTGAGTGTTGGTATGCAACCTACACTGAACTTGATGTTTGAAGATCTGAAGGCCGTCCTGCTAGACATTCTTCTTAGCGCACTGATCAACCCCTGACGATAACTTGTAACGTGTATGAACTACTGCCCTTCAAGTCCTGCCGCATCTCACCACAAACATGCCACGATCTTTTTTAGTCAAAAAAGGAAAACAGACTGTTGACCACTGTAACCGATGGCCCTACCGCCAGCCGTCCAGTCCTACCGAGGCGACCACTGCCCCCAGTCCCCCTCCGGGTATTCCAACCTTGACCATCAGCTGTAGTGACGGTGAGTTAACTGAACATTTTCACCATAAGCTGTAATGATGTTAGATTTAGTTAATTTGTTTTACTTCAATATCCTTATTAACCAGCTGTAGTGAATTAACTTAATACGGTAGGGTTTATGTCGAAACTTGTAAGATAGGACTGTACATTTATGCCAAGAAAAGTGACGCGCAGAAACGTACTCTAAGCTGAGTGTGTTAGAGACAAGATAATGAGAACACCCCAATTTAAGAAATTTTAAAAGTTCAATCACTAGTCGAGGTACAGTTGACGATGATAGTTTTCTGCTTTCTGAAGATTGAACATAGAGGCACAAGTAAGGGACTAAGGCTTGTATGTTGACTATAGTAGTTCTCTGCTTTATGGAAATTGGTCAGAGAAAAACAAGTAAGAGACTAAGACTTGTAGATAATAGACAATTGTCTATAGTAGTTTTCTGCTATGTGGAAATCTATCAGAGAAGAACAAGTAAGGAACTAGGACCTGTGCGTAATAGACAACTGATTATAGCAGTTTTCTGTGACAGACAGTTAAGCATGTAACATAACTGAGAGACTAGAACTTGTATACGATATTGTATATGTAAGAGATTGTTGCTTGGGCATTAAAATGGTCTGGCCTATCCTACGATCGTCATTTGAAACGGTAGATTGCACAGGATATTTAGAAGATTTTGTTTCAGCACTTGGATGGTGCTTTGAAGACCAGGTGGTTAAAGATATCTATAAATTAATTGCACAGTATATGCAAGTAGGTTTTTGCTTGAGCATTTCGGTGATATACTAGAGTATACGATGGTTACCTGAAACTGTAGGTGGATCAGTATACATAAGAAACTGTTGCTTGAGCATTTCGATGACATACTAAAGTATACGATGGTTACCTGAAACTATAGATGGATCAGTATATATAGGGTTATTTGAACATTTCGATGGTTACATGAAACTGGGGACAATATAGTGCGTTTGAAAGTATAAAATAAAATATGGCTTACTTGACGAATTATACTACGATACATTACTCTCCTAGTAACGCATATACCATACTGTAATGCTATGCGTTTTATAGATATTTCCTGCCTTAGCTTAATGTTTATAAATGGCGCAATCTTGTCAAAACCAAGACTGGAAATACTTTAACATTAATGTACAAGTTATAACCATGTAGTAGATATTGTCTAGCAAGACTGGGAGTACTTTAACATTAAGGTACAAGTTATAACCATGTAGTAGATATTGTCTAGCAAGACTGGTAATAGTTTAACATTAAGGTACAAGTTATAACCATGTAGTAGATATTGTCTAGCAAGACTGGGAATACTTTAACATTAAGGTACAAGTTATAACCATGTAGTAGATATTGTCTAGCAAGACTGGTAATAGTTTAACATTAAGGTACAAGTTATAACCATGTAGTAGATATTGTCTAGCAAGACTGGTAATAGCAATATCTACTACATGGTTATAACTTGTACCTTAATGTTAAAGTATTCCCAGTCTTGCTAGACAATATCTACTACATGGTTATAACTTGTACCTTAATGTTAAAACTACCAAGACTGGGAAAGTTCATATATCGAAAACACTGCCTTGAAAGAATTATCTTAGACTCGCACACAACAAAGAAGGAGTTCATCTTATTTAAGACAACAAATAGCAAGAAATATTGATAAAACATTACCTAGAAGCCCGTTCAATTGTTTAATAAACAATAGATTTATCATATTTGTAATGAAGATCAAATAGAGTGCAAATAAGTCACCAAATATGCTGAATCACATATACAATCCAATGTTAATTGCATCTTATTGTGAATTTTTCCTCAAGCTAACTCTGCTCAACAGGAAAGCTCGAGTCTTGGGCGTCAGAAATGTTCATATAGGGTCTGAATTCGAATATACGCAAGTAACTTACCATTGCTTGTACAAATCAGTGCGTAATTATATACTTAATTCCTAAAGCATAAACCAGCTATCATTTTGATTTTCAACAGTACAGTTGCCAAGTAAAAAAGCGCAAACTTAAATTCTTGAAAGTTATATATATTTTTCATCTTTTTTATTTTTAAGTAAGACTGTTATCGCTTCATTTTAAAGCAGCAAATATAAAATAAAATTGGAGATATGAAAATGTTTGTTTTGAATACTATTGAAAGACTAGATAGTATATTAAATTCATGTAGGGAACAAATATTGTTATATATTCTGTTGAAAATTATATACTTATGTTTTGTGTGATGTGATCTATTGCCATAACTCTCTAAAATAACTAGCAAGTGGAACTTAATATAGTATAATTTAGGTACTTTCTTTTTCTTAGGATATAATGTCCCGCGGTGGGTCAGCGGTACGCTTACGGGCTTAACACGCAAAAATCCAGGATTCGATAACTTGTGGTGAACAGAGCGCAGATGACTTATTGTGTAGCTTAGCGCTAAAACACAATAACTTAAATACATCATAACAAATCATACTAATATGATGTCGCTTGTATTAAATCATGGGAAGATGAAATATTTCAGTTCTTTAAAGCACTGTAATTGGACAATTTAGCTATACTTTAATAGATGCAATCCAGTAAACAATTTCAAATATGTTTTACCAAGTAACACATTTGTCTATTGACTTCTGAGAACTCTTTGCATTAAAAAAATACTAACTTGCTTATTTATAAAGTAAGATTTATCTCAATGCAAGTAGATATAGTACTTATATCATGATTGGTTTCTTTTAGTCTTCTACCTGGCGAGCTAAGCTAAACTGATATTCACTTTACGAGTCCAACGCGAAACACACAAAAAAATATTTTATACATTTCACATGTCTGTTTCTTAGCAACTAGTGCTTGTGACCTCTTTAATCACACCTTATGCGCTTCACATGTCTGTTTCTTAGCAACTAGTGCTTGTGAACTCTTTAATCACACCTTATGCGCTTCACATGCCTGTTTCTTAGCAACTAGTGCTTGTGAACTTTTTAATCACACCTTATGCTCTTCAAATGTTTGTTTCTTAGCAACTAGTGCTTGTGAAATCCCTGATCACATCTTATTCACTTCAGATCTCTGTCACTTAGCAACTAGTGCTTGGGAATTCTCTAATCACACCTTATTCACTTCATATGTCTGTTTCTTAACAACTAGTGCTTGCAAACACTTTAAAGACACCTTATGCACTTCGCATATCTGTTTCTTAGCAGCTATAATGGTTGTGAATTCCCTCATCACACCTTATGCGCTGCAAATGTCTGTTTCTTAGCAGATAGTGCTAATAAACCCCCTAATCACACCTTTACGCTTTATATGGCGGTTTCTCGGCAAGTAGTGCTTGTGAATTCCATAATGACACCTTATGCGCTTCACATGTCTATTTATTTGCGACCGGTGCTTGTGATGTTGTTAATCAAACCATATGCACTTCATATATCTGTTTCTTAGCGATCTGTGATTGTGAACTTCTTAACCACTCCTTATGCAATTAACATATCGATTTCTTAGCATCTAGGTCTTTTGAACTCTGTAATTACACCTTATGCGCTTCACATGTTTGTTTCTTAGCAACTAGTGCTTGTGAACTCTTTAATTACACCTTATGCGCTTCACATGTTTGTTTCTTAGCAGCTAGTGCTTGTGAACTCTTTAATTACACCTTATGCGCTTCACATGTTTGTTTCTTAGCAACTAGTGCTTGTGAACTCTTTAATTACACCTTATGCGCTTCACATGTTTCTTTCTTAGCAACTAGTGCTTGTGAACTCTTTAATCACACCTTATGCACTTCACATGTTTGTTTCTTA